TATGTTCACAGAATATGGCCAAAGGAAAATGAACAAGGTGAAGAATATATGAGATAGGTCAGAATGTAATGAGGTCAGGTTGTGTGGGCTTTTTATAGGCCACTATAAGGACTCTGGAATCCCTGGGTGGTACAGTCAATGCACTCAGCTGCTAACCAAAAGGCTGGGGGTTCAAGTCCACCCAGATGTGCTTGGGAAGAAGGGTCTGGTGATGTACTTCAGAAAAATCAGCCATTGAAAACCCTACAGAGCACAGTTCTACTCTGAAACACATGAGGTCGCCATGAGTCAGGATTGAGTCTATAGCAAATAGTACTGGTATAAGGATTTTGGCTTTTATTCTAAGTCAGATGGAGAAATATTTGAGGCTTCTAAATAGACAGTTTAGACTCCAAGTACAGTTTAAAAGGATCATTCTGGCTATTGTGTCGAGGCCAGATTGTAGGGGTGAAAAGGGGTAGTGGGAAGAATAGTTTAAAAGCTACCACAATAATCTAGGCAAGAGACGATGATGGTTCGTGGTGGTAGCAGTGCAGTTGATGAGAATATATTTTGATGCAAATGCTTTGAAGGTAGAGCTGATAGGCAAATGCAAGAGGATCTTGGCCTGATTAACCAGAAGGCTGAAACTGTTATCAAACGAAATGGGGAAGGCTGTGAAAAGGACAAGTTTTTGAGAGAAGCTAAGGCCAGGAGTTCATTTCATACGTTTAAGTTTGAGATGTCCTTTGTATCTAGGTAGAACTGTATATCCAAATACCTGTTTGATAAGGCTGGAGTTCACAGAAAAAAGTCTGGCCTAGAATTATAAATTTGGGACTTGTTGGTATATGGATGCTATATAAAATCATGAGCATGGATGAAATCACCAATGAAGCAAATGCAGAAGAGTAAGTGTAAGGACTGAGCCCTGTGGCATTCTAACGTTAAGACGTAGAAGAGAAGAGGAAGATGCAGTAAAGAAATGGGAGGTGTATCTTTAAGGATGCAAAAACCTATTAGTCTATCCTCATCAGTATTTTACTCCCTCCCTCCCTGCAATGTAAGCTACACCTTAAAAAGTCAAGAACAAAGAAGGGCAAGTTGGGAGAGAGAGGGGAGAAAAGACAAGAGAAAAAAACAGAATGTGTCTTATAGGATACAATCTATTTCTTAGGCCTATTCAAACTGGAGGGTGTTACCTCTGATATTTCTAAGAAAAAGTAGATACTGTAGTATTAGAATTCTAAAGGAAGAACTGTCTAGTCCATGATAGTCACAATGCATGATATAAAACAAAGATAAGCACAGATCTTTGGTTTACTGAAGGCTTTGACTGTAAGTTTCCTGTGGTTGCCATAACAAATTACCACAAACTGAGTGGCTTTAAGTAACAGAAATGTATTATTCTCTCACAGTTTGGGAGGCTAGATGTACTCTGGGGGCACTAGGGAAGAAGCTGCTGTTTGCCTCTTCCAGCTCCTGGTGGCTGTAGACATTCATGGGCTTGTGGCCTCATCAATTCAATCTCTTCCTCTGTGGTCATATTACCTCCTCTTCTGTCTGTAATCTCCCTCTACTGTTCTCTTAAGGACATCTGTCATTAGATTTACAGCCCACCCAAATCATCCAAGATGATCTCGTTACCTCAAGATTCTTAACTTAATTACATCTGCAAAGACTCTTTTTCCAAATAAGGTAACATTCACAGGGTCTGGGGATTAGGACATGAACATACATCATTTTGGAATGCTACCATTCAACCACTACAATATGGTTTCAGACATTTTTGCTAAGGACATCAGTGTGCTGTGTTTATGCAAAATACCAAAGGACACTTAATGTTCATCTATAATAAAGTAAGTCCCCCTCCCTTTTTTATTTTTTTGATTAAAGGGAATAAGGTGACATCTATTTGATTTGGCTATTATAACGAGAAGTGTCTCAGATGCTTACCAGATAACCACTGCCACCCTTGGTTCAGATAGAAGAATTATAGTCATTGTGCTATGCATCATATACTCTGAGATGACAGGCTTTTCTAAATGGTTATTTTACCTTCTCTACTTACCTACTTACATGTACTAATTCCCACTCCCTCTTTCTAAGGACCTTATTTCATGATTTTAAGGATTTCTATATAAGAAGCCCTGGTTATTCATACAAAAACTGAAGGTTATAGTTCAGGCAGTATTTAAATAGACCAAGGGTTTAAAATTTGGTGCTTAAACCACCCTCGTCAACTCTCCTGATTCTGTATGTTACAAGAGCACCTTGTATTGACTTATTCATTGTAACCGATTCCAACGTGGAAGGTAACATGACACTCCACAAGCAGTAGTCTCACAGGGACTTCTTCCTTTTGTTTTTATACTGAGCCTTGTTAGGACAAGCTGCTAATAATGAAAAGTTCTCTTTTTAACAGTCTTGTCTGAGTAGTTGAGCATTTCAAAGAAATAATTTATCCTAATCCCCAATGAAACAGATGATAGCACATTCCTAGATTAGATTATGTCATTTTATAGACAAGGAAAGACAGTGAGACACAATGTCATTTTTGAGGAGTTGTAAAACTGAGCAAGTCAGGTTTCCTAACTTTCAATTCAACTCAGTAATTCTAGTTTAATGGCATATGCACTTCTGTATTTGGCCTTAAAAGACATGTCAATCAGAAAAAGTCTATCAAAAAGACAAAAGAATTTTTATGGAAAGGAATATGAAATTTCTAGAAGCTATCATATGTCATACAAAATACCCCTAGAGCTAAGCTGTCCCCTTGAAATGTGGACTGAATTATATTGAGCTCTAAATGTAAAATATACACTTAGACTTGGTATGCATAAAAGAATATCGAATCACTCATTAATGCATGTTGACATGATAATATTTTGGATATGTTAGATTAAATAAGATATTAAAATTAATTCCACCTGTTTCTTTTTACTTTTTAAATGTAACTACTAGAAAATCTTAAATTACATATGTGGTTTACATTACATTTCTATTGGACAGCATTGCTGTAGAGAAGGTTATGATATAGATACCTTACATATTATAGGTAACTTACTCAGTTAACAAATACTTATTCAGCACCTATTATTGTCAGGTTCTATGCTAAGTGCTAACACCTTAAGAGTGAACAAAGAGAATAGTCCCTGCCATCACACAGCTTATGTTATCTCCTATACTTCTATTACACACTTCAATTATCTCATTTCAGATAACACATAAAAATAATTTAATTTAGAACAAAAACACTACCATTCTTTTGGGCAAATGCCAATACAGGTAGTCCCTGACTTATGACGTATTCGAGTTACAATGGACTGAACTTACAACCATCTTGTTTTATTTTTTGTACATCTTATCATTAGTAATATGTACTACATACAATGTTGCAGTGTGTAATTTGCTGATGTTATCATTCTCAAATGTTCCCTACAGATCCTCAAAGATTGGATTTATAAACATACTGATAATAAAAGGCAATAATGATGAAAATTAAAAAAAAAAAAAGAGGCGTTTGACTTACGTCAGAACAACTTAACGATGGAGTCATTGGAACGGAACCCCATTGTAAGTTGGGGACTACCTGTACCTGACTTAGAAATCACAAAATACAAATCACCAGCAGATTCATACTAATGGTAGTCTATTTTTGTGATATATTATTATGCTATATGTTTACCTTGAAGCCTAATACTGTAACATTCCCAATAGCTTCTCTTGGTTTCTTGTTCCTTACCTCCTTATGGCCCACCTCTACCACAGTCTCTCTTCAACTGGCAACCTGCCTACTATTCACATTACAACAGGGCTATTTATACTCTCAGGGGTCTCTAGAGGTGAGAGGCTGAAAATGTTAAATGTCCATAATCTTAAGAGGCTAACTCCAGTTTTTTTTGGACCCAAGACTTAATTTTGAAGTTTCTTTTGGGCTTAAATAAACTAGGGTGATTTCCAAGCAGTATTTTGCTTCATAACTCAATGCACAAACTATTTAAGAACTAAAACAACTCTATTAGTTTGTGCTACTGAGGCTTCCAAATAACCAAATTTTTCCCAAATAGGACTTTTAAAACAAATTAACAAATAGTAATTCTCTAGTGAATGATTTTTTATATAAAATACTAAGTAACATGAATAGGAAAAGATATATAAGGCTGTTAAGGCTAAAGGCATAGCTTTCAAGAAAATGCTACAAATTAAAAAAACAATTCTTCAGCTCTTACTGACAACTACAAAGAGCAATACGAGCAAAAACTATTTTATCAAAAGGTGCTAATTTTTCACACTTTAATACAGAAAATATCACTGACATATGATAGCTATCAAGAAACAAGTGAAATATCCAAGTTTTAAGCATTCAAAATGATTTCACTATCTTTTTTGGTTGAAGCCTATGACCATCTGAAATACAGATGTGTTTAGCAAAGGAATATGATCCCTCAGTCTTTAGCTGTGCAGGTGTGGTTATGCACAGATGTTGTTTCCATGTTATGCATCTTCTGTCAGCTAACAACTGACAACCTATGACTTAAGAAAAAAAAATGGCCAAAGAAAATTTAAACTTAGCTTGTGAGTGGAGAAGAAAATAGCCAAAGTATAGAAAATGTAGCTATTCTTCATAAGTAATCAGATTAACATTTTGTAATAGGAGTCAAACCAAAGCCTTTAAGCTAAAGTACTTCATATATGATCATGGATCCTTTCAGACAATCATTAAACAACTACTGTGCTATGATGTTCTGGTTTGCTAAATACTATGCAACGGGCAATCAAACATAAATTTAAAAATGCAACTTTACTTTGGCTTTCAGCTCAAGATGGACTAATTTTTCTCTTGGCCCCAAATGATAAAAGAGTTTAGTCTGTAGGAAACTAGCCTGCATTTGACAACCAGTTGTCACTTGTTAGTAGCATCAGAAAAACAAATAAGCATTCTTTTAAGAATTCCTATATAGCCTTAGTAGAGAAGAAATATAAATAGGCAATTCAGATGAAAATGCAACAAAATTTACCTCCAGCTTACTCTGTGCCCAACACTTGACTAGGGGCTTTTTACATGTTATCACATGTACTTTGTCTTTTTCCTCCCTCTTGGAAAAATCTCAATCCTTGGGGCCCTCCAGCTAAAAAAAGTAGGGAGAGGGAGGGAAAGACATGATTAGAAACCAAAGAAATTCTGAGATAAATTTAAAGTGTTTAGGATAAAAACGAGAACCTGCCAAGATATACAAAAAGAGTCTTTCAAATGTTAAAAAAAAGTTTGCCTTAATTATCCATATTTAATTCCACAGAGCAATCACATAAGAACAAATACTGTCTTTCAATTTGATCCCTTGAGGTGACCCCAAGTGTCTTACATCCACAACTGCGAAAATATTACTTTATAACTTCACCTATGTTCAATTTTTGAGAACCACATTTAATATCCACTAAGATGCTGAAGTACCATCTTTCATCTTAGGTAGAAAATAATACGGTTTCATTTAGTCAAGTAAAAAGGCATGAAAAATTCCGCAACTCCAAAATTTAAAAAATAAACTGCAACACTGGTTCGATGGCAATAACATGGACAGTTCTTCATATAAGCTCTAATGATCAAACGAGACATCCCCCAAATGAAACAACAATATTTCAATTAGCTACTATTTGGAGACTAAGAATTGGGTTGTGTTTCAGTTCTCAAAATAATGTTGCAGTTTTAAAAGTTAACCTTACTGGTGTCCTTCTGTAAGCCAGAAATACTGAAAAAACACAGTAATTATTACTTACCAAATGTAATTTTCTTTCCTTAGAAAGACACCTTGTGACAATATTAAAACTCTCCATCGACACATGAAATTTAAGCTTCAGTTATATTGTATACAGTAATAAAAAAGAGAGAACATTAAGAAGCTGAACATTAAATTACCAAATAAAAAGGTCTTTTTGCAGGGGCAGGGCAGGATTTGGTTTATTAAGACCCAACACTTAATTCTAGATCCTTACCGTGCAATTGCATATAGTAAGGGAGGAACATTCGAAAATAAGAATCAACATAACATCACTGCCATTTTCTAAATAAAGAGGTCTTTAATTTTTAATTCAATTCAGACAGTTGGTTTAAGAGAAGCATGAACAGGCATATACGGTAACAGCTTGAATTATAAACAGAAAGTGGTAAGATGTGCAGTAAGAAAGAGATCACGGCTTAATGGCAAAACTGAAAAAAACTTAGGAATACCGTCAGACTCATATACCCAAAAGGGACAAGGAATCTAGGTTAAACAATGAAACAACAGCCGTGTTCTTACAAAAAAGTAGAATGGAAAACAAAGATCACAAACATTTAAGGCAGGGAAAAGGGTTGCTTTATGCCTCCACTGTTTACCAACATTTAAAACGAGCATTTCCAGCCAACAACTAGGTTGGAAATTTCAGTGCCACTTAAACGCTATCCTTTCCAACGTCAACCTAACAACATTTTCAGTAGTAAATGTTAACAAGAATAAAGCATTGTTCCTATATTTCTATCTTCAAGGACCACGGAAAAAATTAAGTGCTTTCTTTCTCCCATATATAGCCTTAACCACTCTCTCCCCTCTTTTATTTACTGCCCTTGTCGTCGGGCTAATTAACCCTAAACTTCTTTTTCTTCCCATTAATGGAAATGGGAAGAAAGAGCAACGAGAGGGGAATCCAAATGAAAAACAGGAAAGTAGTTGCATTACTTGCTGGGTGAGGGTTCGAAACACCCTAAAGGTTTAGCATTAGAAGCACAGTTCCGGAAGATCCTTATTAACATATACTTTACCCCAATGCTGCACCATTTTGCGGCGTTATTATTATATTCTTTGTTTGTTTTTGAAGGGGGTGGTAGTTCTCCTGGACGAACCTTCCCCGGTGCATGCCTCCCTTTCCCTAGGGCCCCAGGAGGCAGAGGGTGGGGGGCGAGGGCCGGGGCTACGAATTTGCAGCGAGGCCCGAAAATCGGTCGCGTTAGAGCCGATTTCACCCACCAGGAATGCGCTCCGCCCCCGCCGCCTCCCCTCCTCGGCCGCCCTTAGGTTTCGCCTGCTACGATGGCCCCAAAAGTGCTGGGGCGGGGGGGGGGGCCACCTCGCCCGTCACCCTACGGCCGAGCCGGCCGCCGGCTCCACAGACTTCCCAGGCCAGAAGAGGGTTCGGGGCGGATCCCACACTCCGCCTCACCCAACCGGGCGTCCGCTCTGGGGCCAGGCGGGAGACCCGGAACCAGCTCGAGGCCTGACCCCCGGCCCCAACCCCGGGGAAGGGGCGCCTTTCCCACCGAATCCATTTCTGTCCCGGGGAGGGGCGCGAGGGCGGGGGCCGGGCCAGAGGACCTCAGGTCGGAAACAGGAGCCGCCCCTGCCCTCCCGATCCCGGGCGTAATCTCCTCCGGTGCCCACCCGTACCTTCAACTCCACAGAGCGACGGTGGGCGCCGGGTTGCGGGTGATCAGGCCCATCTCCTAGCAGCGGCAGCAGAAGCTGAAGGAAGTTCAGGGGAGGCCCCTCTCAGCTGGGGCGGGGGAAACGGAGGGGAGGGGTTCGGACGGCCACTTTTCCGAACTCCTCCGCAGTTCTGGCTCGACCGCTTCTCTTGGGAACCAGCCCCGCAACTGCCATTCTCCCCCTTCCTCAGCCCCCGCTTTCTCCGCCTCCCCCTCCCACTCCTTCTTCCTGCCCCCGCCCCGCCCCGCCCCGCCCCACTCAGGCGCACCGCCCGCGAGCCTTGCGTCATAGCGTCACGCCCAGCGGGCCTGCCGCGGGCGGTCCTGGGACGTGGTAGTTTCCTCACGCACGTCCTCCCTGCCGCCTCCCGTGAACGCTGCGTCTACATCTCGGGCGGCTCGAAACGCGTCCTTGATGCCTGACCTCAGCGCGGGGTGGTTAGCGGCGCTTGCTCGTATTCTTGCCTGCAGCACTTGCTCCTACTCTTGCCTGCAGCACTCCGCCTCGAGCGGGCCGGGCTATGGGGGTGGTGTCTCCCCACCCACGTCTCCTCCAGGGACAGGTGGGGGTGGCTGGAGCTGCGCCCGAGGTGAAGATGCCGGTCTTTGGGACCCTGGCCCTTGACGTTTCGCACAGCATTATTCATTCCTTTAATGGTCTCACAGTTCACCTGCTTGATTGGCAGCCCCAGGAAGTGCAGTGCCGGGATGTTGGCAGCAAATTCCTGCCACTCTCCGCGAGGAAATGTCTTTCACGCGAGAGTGGCGGCGCCCTTTGAAGCAGTGTCCTGCACGTCTTGCAGCTGGCGGTCCTAGCTCTTTTAGTTTAATAGACCTCAGTCTTTCGCAGGGACACTTAGCCACAATAACACCCTATGCGAGGGTTCAGAGAATATCTTCCAGTCATTTCTTTTTCAATTTTAAAATATATTTCAAAAAGCCTGTTTGTTCGAATTCATGTTTTCAACCCTTAACTGATGTCTAATGTATTCTGAATTACTTCTTTAATACAGTTTTGTTACATTCCCTTACATCCTTTGAGCCAGTCATACCCTTTGAAGTTTTTAATCTACACATGCCTTGGTATAAATTCTTGGTTGAATGAATAAATTCAGTCCAGGCCTGATCCATTCCCTTCTAGTTTATTTCACCTCAAGATTTAGAGTCACTCTTCCTTGGAATGCTGAGAAACGGAACGTGATAGGTGCTGGACAGAATGTCCATTTGCCATCTGTTACTTAACTAAATATATCGCCCTTTCAATCCTTGTTGTAGTGTGTCTGATTTAAATTAGAAATGAACCAAGCAGCCATGGTCTTTCACACTGTACTTGGTATCTTTGGTAACCCAGTAAATGTTTGCCAGTTAAAGAACTAAGCAAGCTAGGCAGTTTAGGTCTAAGTTATCTTCGACCGTGAATCTTAAAGGAAGTAATAATGGATATGTTTATTTTCATTTACAGGAAGATTTTAAGCTGTTATATGTACATGTTTAAATGCTGCTTGAAAGCTGCCAGCAATTTAATCTTGGGGATACTTCAAGTCTAACAGTAGTACAAAAATAGTAAGTTAAATGGATTTATGGAATAGTACTCATACATAATATAATCCTTTTTGGAAATATATCAACGTGTTAAACAACATTTGAAGACAGACTTGGAAGGAGGTTTTGAGTAAAGAGGGTGAGTCATGCTGTGTAGAATGGGAATAGGCTTGTACTCTATACAATCGTCATATGTTCCCGGGATGACTTTTCCTGCGTTCCTTGTCTTCCTGAAAATTAGAGGAATTTCCTGCTCTTCACTAGGGCAACATAAATCTATCAAGGAACAAATGCCTGTTGAACATCTCTCCTCAAATTTTTGCAGGCACCTCAAATTCAGCCTGTCCAAAACAAGAGTTTATTATCTTTTCCTCAAACTTGTCTCTTTCATTCACCCAGGCCCAAGCCAGGATTCTAGGATTCTGCCTAGGCACCCTCCTTTCTGTTGCTTCCGATTCCTAATTAACCACCAAGTTATAATTATAGCTATTTAAATAGCTCTCCACTCAGGCCTCTCTTCTATATCCCTTCTTCTGACTTTAAGGCATTGTTTTCAATCTGCGTTGCACATTAGAATCCCCTCAGGAGCTTTCAAAAATCCTGATGTTCAGGCTGCACCCACCAATTAAATCAATCTCCGAGGGTGGCAGACAGGCCTTAGAACATTTTAAAACACCACAGGTGATTCCAATGTGCAGCCAAAGTTAAAAACCACTGCTCAGGCTGTCTCATTTCTCACCAGAGCACTGCAAAAGTGTAATAATTGGCCCCAGTGCCTTACTTTTTGGCAGCCTTTTCCCTTATTTTCCTACCCTCTTCTAATTCATTCAACATCAGTTCAGTAAATAATTATTGAGTGCCTTCTATATGTGGGGTGCTGTTATAGGCACTGGAGATACAGCAATGAAGACAGCCCAGGCATCCGCTCTCATAGGGCTTACATTCTAGTTGGGATGGGGAACAGAAAAGGGGGAAAAAAACAGGAAGAAGTAAGGAAGTAAAGAAGAAGTAAGGAAAGAAATTTACTAGACTAATATAATAGAGAGGAGCCCTGGTGGTGCAGTGGTTAAAGCGCTCGGCTGGTAACCAAAAGGTCGGCCGTTGGAACCCACCAGCCTCTCTGCAGGAGAAAGATGTGGCAATCTGTTTCCGTAAAAATTTACAGCCTTGGAAATCTTATGGGGGCAGTTCTACTCTGTCTTACAGGGTCTGTATGAGTCGGAGTTGACTCGACAGCAGCGGGTTGGTTTGGCAGAAACCAGGGAGGTTGTGACTTTAGTTTGGTCTCTCAAACTAAAGTTAACTCTTGATATTTGAACTGGATTCTGCAGGACAAGAAAAAAAGCAGACAAGAGAAGGCTTGGGGAAGGCAAAGGGAACAGCAAGTGTAGAGACCCTAGCAGGAAAAACTTGTCAAATTCAAGGCAGCTAGAGGCTGTGCTGAAGCATAGCGAGCAAGAGAGAGGGGAGTATCACATGGGATCAGAGAGGTAGGAGTGGGTCAGGTCTTTTAGGTCATATAAGAAGAATTCTAAATGGTTGGTATGATTTGTGATGGGACACCACAGAAGATTTTTAAGCCAAGGCATGACACCTGATTTGTCTTTGCAAAAGGCTTGCTCTGGCTGTGGACATCAGATTGTGGCAGAGCTGGAGTGGAAGCAGGGAGACATTTAGAAGGCTATTGCAAAAATTCAGGAAAGAAATCATGGTTCTTTGGACCAAGGTGGAAGATATGGAGATGGAAGTGAATGGCTTTGGCATTTGTTTTAGAGGTAGAATTGATAGGGCTTGCTGATGAATTAAAAGCGAGAAAAGAGAGAAAGAGAAAGTTACAATGATAGATATCCTTTATTGAGTACTTACTATACGCCATGCACTGTTTGAAGTATTTTACAAGTATTGAGGCATTTAATTCTAACAACAGTCCCAAAAGGTAGATGCTGTTATTATCAGGATCTGAGGCCCTAGAAGCTAAATAATTTGCCCAAAGTTACACAGCTCGTAAATTGTAACACTGAGATTTGGACTACCCAGTCTGGCTCCAGAGTTTACATTCTTCTCCTAGCCCAACCTCTTTATTGGTGTCACCCACCCCCCTCCAAAAAAAAAAAAAAAACCAAATCCATTGTGGTAGAGTTGATTCCAACTCATGGCAACCCTAGGAGTTGCATAGTAGAACTGTGCATAGTGTTTTCAACAGCTGTGACGTTTCAGAAGTAGAGAGTCATGATGACCCTGTGTGCTTCAGAGTAGAACTGGGCATAGGGTTTTCAATGGCTATGTCCTTTTGGGAGTAGATCGCCAGGACTTTCTTCTCAGGCACCTCTGGGTAGATTTGAATGGCCAACGTTTTGGTTAGTAGTCAACCACTTAACCTTTTGTGCCACCTAGGTACTCGTATTAGTGTCATAGGCAAGTGAAAATTTCGTCAGCCACATTAGGCTACTTGTACCACAAGTCCTCCCTTGTTTTTCCCTCTCTCTCCTCTTTCTCTTGCTTTTCCTCTTCCTCCTCCTTCCTCTCTCTGTCTCTCTCTCTCATGCACACACACATCTGACTTTCTTTGTACATGCTATCTTCTCTGCCTAGAATGCCTCTCCCCTTTCCGTCTCAGCCTGGCTCATTTTATCACCCTTCCTTGGTCTTTATGGGCGAAGTTAAGCCCATCTTCTCTGGCCCTACAGCAACTCTGTGCTTACCTCTATAGTTTTCTGTACAAAGTACTGCATTATTATCTGTAGTACTTTCCCACTAAACTTTTTTTTTTTTTTTGCATTTTGATATATTTATTTTGCTATGAAACATAAATTGACCTCAATAAAGCTGAAAATAAATAAATTTTGCCTTAAAGGAAAAAAAAAAGATGAATTGGAGCTATACTGTAAATGTATAATAGTTTTCTTATCCCGAGTTGTTAACTTGCTCTGCTATCGTGGGCATTTCCTGCTGTCATTAAACATCTCTTTAGTGGCTGCGTGGTGTGCTACCACATAGACACACCAGAAGTTAGTTACCCACTTTCTGGTGATTGCCTATTTT